AGCATTCAGACCTTTTGTACCAATGTGACCAAGTCTACCATGCCATAATTTTGCTAGATTAAAATCATCATTTAAAACTGCATTAGAATGACCCATAAGAGGTTTAGCATTTAAGAAGTATAGACCATGTCTCTTTGGGATATAAGTGACTAAATCACTTCCCCTAAAGATTTTTATTTGTCCTTGACCCAATTTTATGTCAAACTCCATATCATCTAACATTCCTAAGGAAATTAAGTTTCTTTCTAAATCTGGTACAAATCTGGTATTTTCTAAAAGTAAGATTCTGCCATTTTCTAAAAGAAGTTTTATGGTTCCAATACCTTTAACTTTGCAAGTCATGTTGTTCCCCATGACAACTTGTCCTCCATTAGACTTTTCAAAATTAAGAAAGTAGTTTTTCTTAGGACACATGTGGAAAGAACATCCTGAATCTAGAATCCACTCTTGATTTAAGTTTCTTTCAACATTAACAAGGACTAAACCATTGTCAGATTGAAGTGTGTCACATGACATAACAGTATTTCCCTCACTGACTTTCTTCTCTTTAGAATCATTCTGTTTTTTATAGCAATCCTTAGCAAAGTGACCTACTTTACCACAATAATAGCACTTTTTACCTTTTGCCTTATTCTGAGATCTTGTTTTATCAAAAACCTTCTTTTTAGGTTCATTAGAAAATTTTGAATGAAAGTTTGATCTACCAACAATTTTACTTTTTATCAGTAAATTTTCACCATATTGTTTATTGGTAGACTCAGATTTCAGTTCAAGTACCCTATTTCTTAAAGCAGTTATTATAATATCAGTGGTAAGACTATCCCTACCATACTCTAAGGCATTTTTAAGGTTTTTGTGTCTGTCACTAATGGAGTTCAACAATACCACAGCCAACTGATCTTCTAATAATTCTTCATCACAGTTGGTGAGATCTTGGGTCAGTTTGGTAAACCTATCAAGATTTTCTTCCAAATCTACTAAAGGATCCATTTTAAATGAGAAAAACTGTTTTAGTAAAAAACATTTGTTTGAGACAGTTTTTGGTTCATATTTAGCCTTCAACTTAGTCCATAAGTCTTCTGCAGTTTTAGTTTCTCCTATAGACCTGATCACATTGTCAGAAAGGTATAAGAAGATAGTGCTCCAGGCTATTTCTTCCAGTTCAGTTTTCTTATCTTCTTCAATACCAGTAGGCCATGAATTATCGAGAGCTTTAGCACATTTTAATTGCATCAATATAGCTCTCATTTTCTGACTCCACATACTAAAGTCTCCCCTCCCATCATACAGTTTCAATTCAAACTTAGCAGTAGCCATACTAAGTATAACACTTAGTTAATACACAATATACAGTACTAAGTTCAAGAAACACACAGGAACATACACAGTTGGAGACAACAGCAAACTCAAACTCTTTTTAGTGCCAATTTAACAATACACTTTAAACAAATTTCTCTTGACAGTAAACAGTTAATACTTATTACAAGAGGCAGTATTATAACTGGACAGAGATTTCAAAAACACTGTGCCTCAACTGACTTCTCCTACAAGATCTTCCAATTGTACTACTCACAGAGTTGTTATCTCAGATTCCCAAGATTTCAAGAGTCTTTGGACAAAGACCAATCACTGGAGTTTTAATAGTACAAGATAAATCAAGGGAAAAATTCAGGAGTCAAGCAATATGAAATTACTAATTTCAAGATACAGGAAAGATCTCACCAAAGAGTTCGTAAGAACTCAAATTCCTCCATCAACTGAGTTGACTGTCATTTGAAGCAGGTTTCAGAAATCCAGATTAATCGAGAAGTAACAGTGCTCTGATACCACTGTTAATCAAAGAAGTCATTCACGATTAAACCAAAATTTACACAAACCATTCAAAACAGAAATTTAAATGCAGAAAGTAAAGTGTAAACACAAGGATTTCTCGGCCGAAGCCCCAGAGGTTCAGCTTAAAACCTAATCCCCTGTTGAGCATCCATTATAAAACGGATCTAGCTCGGTTGCACTAAAAACTCAAAATATGAAAGTCAAAATACAGAAGTACAGATCACAAGATAGTCACAGAGACTTATCTTTCTACACGAGGATGATTGAACTATGCTTCTCACAGGAATCACTCAGATCTGTTACAAAGCACTATCGAACTCAAGAATCACTCAGATTCTAGTCACTAATTACCGAACTCAAGAATCACTCAGATTCTAGTCACTAATCACTCAGAAAAGTTAAGCATTCATACAATCAATAGTATTACAGTGAGATTACTGTATTTTCTCACTATTTTCTCTCAAGAAACCATATCACAGAAGAGAAAACACGAAGAGTTTTCAAAAGGGAGCGTATGAACTCAAACCGGCAGAGAGAAAACCCTAGAAAGAAAAATGACGATTCAGCTGAGTGAAATGAGTCCAATCAGAGTAAATAATATCAGAAGCATCCAGAAGCCTGATCCAACGGCCACCATCATCACACGTGTCATGATCCAGTATAATGTGTTATTTAAAAAATGAAAGAAGTGTCAAATTTATTAAACACGATTTCAGCTTTAAAACTGTGGAAGCAATATGACCAAAGGTCCAGGGTTCGAACCCAACATTTAATTTTTTTTTTCCTTTTTTCTCAAGTAAATAGTAAAAGATCTATTATGCTGTCTAGGTTAATAGATTGTTTTCTATAGTTGACTCAAATTTTAACTTCAAGCATTTGTTTAAGTTTGTATACTTCGAATTTTCAAGCATTCAACAATGAAGCAGGTCAAAAAGGCAATTCGAAACAAAGCAAAGAATAGTTTTCTTGCTGATTGTATGCCACATTAAGTTGAATGGTATTTTTCAGAAAAAAAAAATATTTAGATTCAGTTATAGACGAGTTTTATTTTAAAATTTTAGTCCCCTTCTAACTATAGCTCCGCCCCTATAAAAATAAAAAAATTCCATAAGCTCCATCTTGCTTCGTTGCTCATTTACTCGGACCTTCATATACTTTTTTATGTAGTGAACCGAAATTCAAACGTGCAATCAAAGCTCCATCGATATTCATGAATTAATGCTAAATTGTTTCTAGAACAAAACAACGTTCACAATCTCTTCCTGATTACTAGGTGCCTTCGAGGTCACAAATTCCCTCCAATCTCTAGGGCACTGATGCTTTTAGTTAAACGTTGAAAATGTGTTATTTATTTAATTAGTACATTAGTATATGGAAACGATTTTTATTTTGAGAACTCTATTAGCTTTTTTTAAATATCGGATACAGGTTATATTGAGTAAACAAAAACATCCTCAAATCCTATTTCGTGGCAAAGTATGATTCTAAAAATCCATGACCAAGAAACAAGTTATATTCATAACAAGCAGGATATTCGATGTTAATTACTCCACCAATCCTGTTTACTAAATTTCACGTCTCAATCGTCCAATCTTTTTCATTTGTCTCTCTATTTTAATCCAGTCTAGATAATCCCTCTAAATTCTAACAGCAGATTTCATGGTACTTTTTTCAAATACACGCACAAATCTATGGTCTACTCTTGATTATTTGTGCTCCTATTTCATATTACTTAGCAATTCATTGTTAGGCCCATGGACTCATGTGCACATGCTTTATCGCCAGCGCCCAAGGCAGCAGATGACACCAGCTCAATTTTTTGTCCCAGTTTTTCTATTCACTTGCACGTTTGACTGGCCACCATCAAACCCTGCAAAATGAATCCCCCACCCCACCACTTGATAATAAAAACTCAATATTATACAGAATTTTAAATAATACAAATCAGTATTATAATTATGTTGTGAAGGTTCTCGTACCAAATTATTTATGAAAATTACTGGAGAATGAAGCTCCATTCAACAAACCTAATAAACAACATGAATAAATTAAGAAAAGCACAGGCAACTACCAATCATAACACAGCTGCCAATCTCATATTTAATGTTCAACTGGATCCTTTATGATCTTAATCAATATCTGGATCCAAATTTTCCTTGATTCTTTTTTCACTCTTATCATTCACAACAATTATTTTACAATATACAGATAGGGGATAGAGGCAAAACTATCCTCACAGAACTTGAAGAAGGGTTCAGAACAAAAAACCCCTGATAAGACATGAGTAACAAAATCAGAAGCATGATTTAAAGGGGAAAAAAGAAAATACAGAGTTCAGAAGGTTAATTAGAATTCAAGAATCCATTAAAGTTGGTGGACTGGAATAAGACCTTTGCATTCATTTCCCTTTCAAACCTCCAAATATAATTGAGACCTACCAGCAACTCTGTAATGGCAGCTTCAGTCTTTTCTTGATTTGCAAAATATAGAGTTTGTAGCAAAAGGACATTTGTTTTTGGCACCAAATTTTTCTGTTCAAAGCTCCTTTCACTTTGCCATTTGATCATGTTGTGTGCCAATGGTGATAGCCATCCCAGTATCTTGTGCAATGCTTCTCTCCATTCCGCAGCAAGAGCTGGATCACTAGCTGAGAATCCAGTGGTGCTATATGGATTTATAGGTGGTGGCTTGGTGGGGTTGTGAAAGTGGTGGTAGTGGAGAATTTAGGATTTATCTGTAATATTTTGAAAGATTTAGATTATGATTGCAATTAATTAATTATTTTTTTCTTTTCTTTTTGTTTTATTTCAATAGGAGGGTAAAATCGTCATTTTATTGAAAAAATGGATGAAAAGGACCTTTTGCGAAATGAAATGTGAAATGTAGGGGTAAAAATGCTAAAAATGAAAGGTAGGGACGTTTTGCACAATAATTTTGAAAGGTAGGGACCTTTTGTGCTAATTACCTTTTTGATTTAACGGAGCATTTTAACGGAGAGTTAACAGAATGATGTTTTGCGCAAAAAAAGGTAAAGGTAAGGGTGTAATCCGCCAAAAAATGAAAGATAAGAACGTTTTCCACAAAAACATGAAAAGATAGGGATGTTTTGTGCTAATTAGCCTTTCATAAATATCTCCTAATATATAAATAAAGCAAAAGGACCCAGAAATATCTCCTAGTATATAAATTAAATAAAAGGACCCAGAAAGAAGATTGACCTTGTACATTTCCTCTCTCCAACACTTTCGTTTTATAATTTCATTGCAAAATTTGGCAGCCATCTTTTCGTCGCACCTTCGTCGCCTACCACCACCAGGTATCGTGTCTCTTAGCCCATCTCAAAACTTTAGTCTCCTCCAAATTTTTCCACTCTTGAAACTGATTTTCGATCATCGATTGATTTGAATGGTTTATATATGAGCATGAGTTCTCATCAATTTAATTTTGTGGGTTTCTCCATGGGTGACACTGACAAATCAAGTGTTTGATTTTATTTGTTTTTTAATTGATTTGGGTTTTAATAGATTGGCACAAATGGGGTGGGTCTGAAGTTGATTTCAATTTTTATAGTTTGTTGATAAAAGGAATGCAAACGAAATTATTGGATCGAGATGGGTTATGATTTACAAGTGTTTTTCTTGAATTAGGAAAGATGGGTTTGAAGAAAAAGAGAAGTAAATCTTCCTGAAGATGAAATGGAGATAGTACTAATGGAAGATATAATTGAAGAGTAGAAGCGATGAGAGATAAGGATAATGGAGAAGAATTTAAACAAAAGAAAATTGTCTTCTTTGTATTGGATTCCACTTGCCAGCAGAATTCCTCTACTTTCAAGGCAATAATGGAAGAAAATTATGTTGGTTTTCATTTTATGCCATATTTATGTTAAAAAAATATATCACTTTTTTTGAACTTTTTAAGTTTCTAAACGAGACGTTTAATTGTTTAAACATATCCCTATCTGATATAAATTAAAATTTTGATTTTATTTACACTAAATAGGGGCAATATTAAAGCATACAAGTATTTTAAGTTCATGTCTAGTCTCTCTATCAAGCTTTGAAAATCATGTACATTTTAGGTTTTCATAGAAAAAACTGAATATGGCCCGAACAATGTCAAAGATGTTTAAACAATATCAAACAAAGTTTATCAATAGAATAGAATATGATTAAAGGGAAAAAAAAATTTGTGGCATAGTTTATGGATTATCGTCTTTTTAATGATGAAGCTTGAAGCAAGCTTTATAAATATGATATACGTTTTAGGGCTTTGACACGAAAATTGAATTTAGGCATATATAGACGTCAAGAGGTGTTTAAGCACTATGAAATATAATTTTTCAATAGAACATAATATGATTAAAAAAGAAAAACATGTGAGTCAATTTACCGATTCTCGTTTTTCAAATGATGAAGCTTGAAGCAAGCTTTATAAAAATATGTATGTTGTATGTTCGGTCCTGAATAGATGTCAATGGGTGTTTAAGCACTACAAATACAATTTATCAATAAAATAAAATATGATAAAAGAAGAAAAAAAATATGATATATAGTTTATCGAATATAGTCTTTCCAATGATGAAGTTTGATGCATATTTCATTAATAGAAGCATCTAATAAATTTTCTGCATGTTTAAATTGTCAAAAAGTTGGAACACTTTAACCTGCTTTAAACCTTACTTTTTGCTCATAGCTTCTTTAGTGTCAGGTTCTTTTTTTAAAGAAACACACGGCTTATTCTTTTAAATTGTAATCAATTAAGTTTTTCACCCGTTCATGTATATTTTTTATTACATCTATTGAGAAAAATCAAATTTTCTATCTAAATATACTATATTATTTCTTTTCTAGCTTTGCATCGTTAACATGTTTTACTTACATGGTATTATTCTTTAGGACGAGTCTATTTGATTTTTTTAATATAGAGCTCCTGCCTCTCAGGATAAATCCTGCTTTGCAGGAGAATATCTCTACCTTCCAAGAGCCTTTCAGAAATCGAATTCACGACCTCTAATCTGTCAACCTTGAAGAGCCCTCATCTTTACCAATTGGGATGTGGCCGGTAGCATCATTTGCTCACATTCTTGTATTCATGATGAATGGGTAATTCTTCAGTTTTGACTTTGCTAATCATTCATCATACATGTGCGCGGTATGCCTGTTAACTGTACTTTGACCAAATGATGGCTTATTAAATTTTAAAAAACAGTTATTTTTAAGAATTTAAAATAAATAAATAGTATATAACTGACAAATGTTAAAAAAATATATACAGCTGAAAATATGCCGAGATGGCATATTCCCTGCACTGAATCATTGGATCCATATAGAAATTGTGTGTTTGATATTCAATTTGTTAAGAATTTAGGTACTCCGGAAAATTTTAGTTATTTTGTTATTTTTTTCCATATCTATCCCTTGTTTGATGGCCATTATTTGATCAAAACAATGTTTTGAATAGTGAGGAGAATGTGTGGTTAAAGAAGGTTAAAAAAAAAAATTTGGATTTATATGCAAAATATTTTATTATGTGAATGTGTGATTGAAAATGAGTACATAGAAAAAAATGTTTTCAAATAATGGTTGTCAAATAGGGACCTGGTTAAGTCATTTTTTAGTCAAATGATTTATATTATAGAGAACGACTGCTAACTGTGCTGCTTTGTTCATATAGATATCCTATCTCACTCGAACAATTATACAACAAATCTTAATGCGAGCTGTTCGGGGAAAAAAAAAAAAGATTAACGATTCACTGAATGCTGGCGCTTATTAATCATAGATTCTTTTTAATTTTTTTCGACAAACTCATTCGCACATAATCATCTTTAGCTTTACATTTGAAGTTTCAATACATTTAATCCTCGGTAGGTCATTGCTGCGACTTCTCCATGTCTCACCCCAATCTCTAAAGCGGAATAAGCACTTCATTAGTTCTTGTTCAGTAGTAATTTCTTCATTCTTTAGATAGCAGCAAAAATTTCATTTTGATCCCTAGTTTCAATTGAATCATGAGCAAAACTTGACACTGCTAGCAAAGCTCTACAAGAGTATTTCCATTGGAGAGCCAATCACATTGTTCTCTCTACTTTCAAACGTTGGAGCGATGATCGTGTAATCATTGAAATTTTGAATCTTTTCTTAAGTATATTAGTACTACCTATTGCAAGTTAAAATTAACGAAAGAAATGATGAACACAATTCATTTGAACTGGTTGAATTAGATCAATTAGAAATTCGATCGGCAAGTTAGTCACATCTAGTTTTCAAGAATTCAAAATTAAAATTGAGAACGTTCCAGTTTTTGTCATGTTAATATGAGATATTACAGTGAAACAAAGAACATGATCGTTTTTCATTTTTTTCTTTTAATTTTTAGTTTTAATTATTTATGAAATAATATTAGTAGATAAGTCTAGGGGTCGTTTGAGCCCCATTATTTGTAATTTATAATGAGATGAATAGTATTTTTTTTAAAATGAGTGGTTGAAATTTTTTTGATTTACGTGTAATATTATTTTATTGAAAATTGTACGGTTAAAGTAAGAAAGAGAAAATTTTAATTTAATGTAATGAGAAATAATGGGGCTTAAACGGGTGCCTAATATATGTTATAGTTTGTGCAGTATGATTTTTAAAACCCTAAGTCACAAGAACACATTTTAAGGGGTTCAATGGTAGCTCAGTGCACGTTTGAGTGTGTATAAGCTAAAATTTAAGTAATTATAAGTTATGGATCTTACTAAATGTATGAATAATAAGTGAGAAGTAATCGTGGATCAAGCAAAATTTTGAATAAAAAGTATGTTTGACTAATTTAAATTATAAATTAAACTTTGTCAAACATGTACTTAGAGAATCAACTAATTTTCTAAAATAAAAATCAAATAATAATTAGTTCCGTATTCTTTTAAAAAATTAACTAAAATAAATCATGTTTACCTCAAAGTATGAAATAAATGTAAAATCAGACTTTTCATCGACTAAATATCAAGTTAAGAAATATCTGAGTATGAAATTCAACAAGATATGATCTCTTGAGATAGAGAGTTTGACGCTTAAAAAATAATGGTCGAGGGGTAAGTAATAATATACAGATTGTATTGGGGGTTTGCATTCCATTTGAAAGACAGTCAACATGATCCTTGTTACTGTGTCGGTAAATAGATGGGCAGATCTTCTGCACTTTGAGTTATTCGATACTAGTTGCTTCCCAAACTATATGTATAAATAAATAACTGCCCAAATTCCACATTTAAGAAAGAAGAGAAATACAGCTGCGCATCTTATGTTTCTTCAAAAATTTTCATTTTAGTTTTTCTTGACTTCTTTTATATACAATTTAACTTTTTAATATTGTGGCACTTATTCAATAGTCTAGGTATTGTCACCTTTAATCCACAAAGTTGTTGTCCACCGCTAGAAAGAAAGGTCCAAAAGGTCAAAGATCGTATGGATTTGAGAACTTCTTGTGACAAAAGTTTTAGGATAATTCTTATTTCCAGTATGGGATAGAGCAGAATCGTAGCTCGCAAGGCTCGTGACCTACATAGGCCCTGCGGCAAATTTACGTATTGCGCAATACTCCACTTTACAATTCTCTTATGAAATCATAAGCTTTGAGCTGGGATGATTACATTAATGGTTATTAAAGTTATTTTCTTATGATAATTGTAACTCAAGTTTCTAACGATTTCATTAACGGTCACCTGATCAACGATCAAAAACATCAAGGTAAAATCATATGTGGTGCCATTAACTACCAATATGTCACCAAATTGATGTTATTTATTACGATAAGTTAGCAACATAAAAAACAAAAAAAAAAACATCGATTTACCATATAATTTAAGCTTGAAAATTTGACAAAAACTAAAGTTATATTATGTTTTTTTATTTGAACGTGTTTAATTCTCAATTATTCTGACTTGGCATGATAAATAATGTCATTTCGTGGTAAGTTGGCACTTAACTATGCCAAGTGGGATTTAACAAGATTTTTTAATCGAGTGGCTGCTAGTTTAACATTTAGAAACATGAGTAATTATTACCATAAGAAAATAATTTTAATGAAAGTCAATGTATTTACTTAAAACTTCAGTGACCGTAGGCATAATTAACACGTTTGAAGTTACTTCTTAAAAATGTTAATCTTATTAAGATGAATAGTTCAAGTTCTTGTACATCGATTATTATTTTTCACATTTAGTCGCCATGAGATTTACCCTCAGCTTGTTGTGCGAGAAGATGACTTATTTGATAACATTAATTTCAAAATCTAATTAGTAGTTCAGCTTCAGGTATATTAAATAGCTCATTCGAACTTTTTGGTCCCTGATTATCATATTAAGTTTCGGAGTTTTATCTTAAATGATCAACTTTATTAAAAGAAATCCAAGTGTGTATATGTGAGTCCTGATCTACTCGCTCGACTTGACCATCTTCTAGCCATACCAACACTAAAATTTTGACATAGTTTATCATGCAAAAAATAAACTATTTTTTTTTTTTTTATGTCCATTAAAATCTTGATGCTAACTGTATTGAGGTTTGATCTTGTCAAATCCCTTTCAATACAACATGTAAAACACGTCATTACTAACAATAACAATAAGAGATTTATTTAACATTGTTAAATAAAATAACATTTACTCTTAATATGCATTAATCAACATGTTTAAATTACTTATAAGTAGTTTATAATTACAATAAACAAGTGTGAAAGGAAGGTAAGAGAAAGGATGCTTAACATTTGATCTTGTATTGGTTCTAAATGCCCGCAGGCACCGGGATTTGCATTATAAGATCGACAAATTGTTGGAAAAAGAAGCCTTCCTATTGGATGAATTAAAATTTACAACAACGATAAATTTTGTGCGCAACGATAAATTTGTCACTTTTTGAATAGTTTTTTCAAAATGTTCGTCTAATATATATAATTTTTGATTCA